GCTATTAACATATATATTATATTTTTAATTTGGATACTGTATCTAATATATCAAACTTCACACTTACATGGTTTTATGATCATTTGTATATTTTATAATAAAATTTTTAAAATATTGATAACATCATTTTAATGTGAGATATTTAATATGTACTGTAATTTATCATTGTTTAAAAAATTAAATTCAAAGTTGTCATTAAAGTATTAAGTTCTCAATACTTGTTCAATGCAATTTTGGAATTAAATATTTATGTACTTTTAAATGGTATTTAGTTTAATTTAAACACCACTAATATATATACATATAATTTAAATATCTATTATATGATATTTATCACTCATTAATTATATAATTGTTTGTATCGTGCTATAACAAAAAATAAACTATTAATCAAAAATATTATATGTGAAATTTAAATTTTTTTTTATCAATTTATAGTCCTTTTTAAAAATTCAAAATATAACATACATAAAAATATCTATTTTTTGGAATATAGTTAATGGTATTGTTTAATTTATTTTCACAATATAAATTTAACAAAAAGAGTAGAGGTTATACAATTTTTTTTATCAGATCTTTCATATTCAAATAATCAATTGTCATATATATATATATATATATATATATATATATATATATTAAAACCATATTAGGTAATTGCGTAAACTTTATTTAAGGAAATAATGATCAGCATTGATAATAGTTTTATGCTTAGTTTGATAAAAAGTATATTATATGTTTATATGGACCAACATTTTCTCTAGTAAATTTGAGAAGCATTCTCATGATGACACGTGGCTACCAAAACATGTTGTAATGTTTCTCAATTAGTATATAAGGGATGAGACTTCATATTCGTACGATTTATGATAATTTGTATCTTGTTTGGAAAAAAAAGGTTAAACCATTGATCATAAAATTTTCAATGTGAAAGTTTACTATTTTTAGTAATTTATGGTCGTTTAATAAATTCAAAATATAACATATAAGAAAAAAATTATTTTTTTTAATATTAATTATATGTTTAATATGATTGTTTAATTTATTTGAATAATGTAAAATTAAACAAAAAAAAGAGGACACAAAATATATATTATTCATAATCATTAATTGCATATATATGTTAATCATATTAGGTAAATACGTAGGTTTTATTTAAGGAAAGAAAATATATTGTTTTGTATACTACTAATTATTTTAATAGTTAATTTAATCAAAGTAGTATATATCTATATGAACCAACCTATTTTTCCAATGATTCTAAGAAACATTCTGGTGATGACACGTGGCTACGAAAACATGTTGTAATGCTCCAGGATTAATATATAGGGATAACCAAAAACCGAGACGGTTAAACCGAAAAAAAAACTAATAACTGTGACGGTTTGTCGTGAGCTTAAACTGTGAAAAACGATTTTCGTTAGTGAGAAGCACAAAATGTTTCATTGTTTGAGGGGATCCCCATTGTTAATACTTTCGTCTCCAGAAGCCAGCCCATCAGACCAACAAAGCAAAAACCTTATACTATTAATGGCTTTTCTTGATCCACTAAAAGTCTCACCGTCCAATCAAGAGAAATATCTTCTTCAAACCCTAAATTCTCTTCCCTTTCGTGGCAAATGGCTGGAACAAGAGCTTCCCTGCCCCCATCTCATGCATGAATCCCTTATGCTTCTATGAAATCTCCTATGCCATTCATTCATAACTGAAACATAGATTTACAAAACAGCCATCAAGTTAATTTGAAAAAAAAAGTTCCAAACTGAAATTTTTGTATGGTGGGTTGATTTGGTTTGTATATGGTATTGGTTAAAACTGAGATAGCACCTTCGATTGGTAAAAAAAAACATAATCGGATAAAACAAATAAAGCTTTTCCAGTTTCTTTCGTTTCGTCTCCTCGACATCCCCAAAGAATTTCCCGATCTTGGAACATCAATCTCGCAGCTCCGCTCCTCCTCCACTAATCTCTCCGGCAGGTTATCGGCGGCAGAGACTAATCGGACGTGTAGCATTTCTGTGGGGCTTCCGCTGGGGCTGTAGGAGTTTTTGGTAAGTGGAGGTTTCTTTTGGGTAGTAGGTTTTTGGGAGAGAGGGGTCGAATTAGGAGTATTGCACAATGGCATTGTTTCGTTTCTGGATCAATTAGTATATTAATTTGGTTCGATCTGTATTTGGGTGGTTGAATGGAAATGGAAAGGCAATATGTTGGAACCTAGATCGATCCGCACCCAAACCAATTCAATTTGTTGTTGATTGTTGTAGTAAAACTATACAACTCGGAACAACTAATTGAAGTGTGGATAAACGAGTAAAATTTTAGAAAATGGGTACAACTGGATATAACTAGGACTACTGATATAACATAGGATAACTGATAGAGCTTGATATTCAGTTTGATGAATTTGTTCCATTATTTTGGCAGGATACGATGAGCAATCATGTCAGTATATATTTTCAATTCAAAGACCACATATTCAATATAACTGTGAAGATATCAGTGGAGGATGTGACTTTTTCAATGATAAAAGAGAGAATGTATAAGAAGCTTGGGTTGGATGAACGCAAAGAAAAGCTGAAAATGAGCTACATGCCGATGGTGGTAGGATGTTCGCGACCTCTAAATATTGATGATGATGAGGATCTATTTTTCTACCTAACGTCGATGGATAAAGAGAACCGCAGATGTCTTTTTAATTGTGGAGAATAGTGGAAGATCAGTTCTGGTAGATAAACTTTTGATTGTGGGTAAAAGTTCCGTTGGTATGAACTACTAATAGTTGGAGCCTTTGGAGGAGGGTTTGGAGGAAGAAATTGGACCAAATGCCATAATTTTGTACATAGAAAAGAAGCAAGGAAATAATGAGGTGATAGAGGGTGAGAATGATTGTATGGAGATGGAAAACAGTTTGAAGAGTGAGACTGGTAAAGAGACTGCTATGGAGACTGATACATATGTCGAGACGGCTACCGATGCCGTCACCGGTACTGCTGCCGAGACGGCTACTACGGCGGAAACTGATACCCCTAGCGAAACTGATACTGCTGTTCCAACCACTGATAAATATGTTCAACAGCCACCTGTCATAGAATCGACTTATATATAGAGGAATGAGGTGATGATTTAAGTCTGGATAATCATGATGTATTTACAAATAAGAAGGCAATTCAAGAGGTGGTTGATAGAGCTGCATATACTGAATGCTATCATTATCTGACAAAAAAGTCTGATCGTAAACGATTGGTGATAAAATGTTCGCAAGCTAACTGTAAATGGGGATTACGAGTTGCAAGGATTTCTGACACCAAAATATTCTCGATTAGAAGCTACATGAAGATGCATACGTTCTCTCGGACTAGTCAAAGTGACAGCAATGCCAAGCGAAGAGGTTCAGCAGAACTAGTCTCAGCCTTTTTGAATGAGGAATTCCCGGGAGAGTTGGAAACTCCAGTTTCAAAAGTTATAAAGGGTCTGGTTAAGAACAAACTTGGGGTCATTATATCGTACTTAATATCGTTGCACAAAAAAAGTCGGGCCGTTTCTGATAAACGTGGTAGTCCGGAAGATAGCTACAAGATGATGTATAGCTATTTGTACATGCTGAAGCAAGTGAATGAGTGAACAAAACTCATGTGGAATTGGATGAGGTAGGTAAATTCAAGTACCTATTCATAGCGTTGGGAGCTTGCATTGAAAGGTTTGCAGCCATGAGGAAAGTGATAGTTGTGGATGCGACATGGCTAAATAATGGATCTGACGTGGTTCTATAGTTTTTGCGAAAGGTCAAGATCCTAATCGTCACCATTATCCATTAGCATTTGGAACACTAGATGGAGAGAATCATACTAGTTGGACTTGGTTTTTCAAGATGATTAAAACTCCTATCCAGACTCTTCAGAACTGGTTTTCATGAGTGACATAAATCAAAGTTTGATCTATGCAATAGCAAACATATTTCCACAGGCTCACCATGGTCATTGTTTATGGCATTTGAAGGAAAATGTGAAAGGGCATGCTTGTAACGTCAACAAAGATGTAGTCAGGCATGTATTCATGAAATTGGGAAGATATTACATTGTGTCTGACTTCAACTCTGCTTACGAGTCATTTAAGACAAGATATCCTTTAGCTTGGAAGTATGATGAGGAGAATACCGAAAAAGACAAATGGGCAAGGATTTTTTATCCACGTGATAGGTACAACTTGGACACAAGTAACAGTGTAGAATCAATGAACAACGTGTTTAGAGAGGCAACGAGGTGGGCTTAATACCAATGTTGGATTGTATCATCAGAACATTCTCGGACTGGTTCAATCAACATCAAAAGGATGTTGTTTCTGGGTCGATCGATACCAAACTGGTGCCTCTGATTGAGAACTACTTACACGATCTATGGGATGTTGCGCGTACGCTATCTGTGCAGGAGCTTAATAGTTATAACCTTGAGTACGAGATCTACGACACTGAGGGCAAGATGTTTTTGGCAAATCTGGTGGCAAAAACTTGTACTTGCAAGGTGTGGGATTATGAAAAGTTTCCTTGTCTACACGGACTGGCTGCTTACATATATTTCACTAAGAACGTTGATGACGGCATTGGAAGGCGCCGTGATATCCATATTCAATATCATGAACTCTGCTCAAAATACTATTGGGCGGAACTGTGGGCATTGGCGTATTCCAGGCACTTTATGTTGTGCCCGACAGGTCTTCCTAGAATGTACCAGATCACATCAAAGAGCTAAAGATCATACCTATGACCAAATTTGGTAACACTAGTATCTTCTCTATAACTAAGAACAAAGTTTTTGGAGGGAAAATAAAATTTCGGTGGCGCCTAAAGTGGCAAAAACAAATATCTCTCACTTTTTCTCCTCAACCACACGACTATCTCTCACTTTTCTTATCCCATCTCTCTCACACTCTCTCTCCATCTCTCTCTCCATCTCTCTCTATCTCTCTCTCACTTAGTTGTTCAAAATTGTCAAGAGCTCTCAGCCATGACGCATCCGTATGAGGAGTACATGAGGATGAAGGAGTTGAAGGCATACAACGACATGCTTAGGTTTGTGGCTGATGCATAATATTCCGACGAGGTGCCTTTGCGGGGGAAGCATTGTTAATGAGGTATCTCCGGCTAATAAATATGCCACGGATTTTGATACTCTACCGGGGAGGAAATACTTCACTTGCAATAAGTTTGAGGTTACTTTCATTCGATTTTGACTGATGAAATTATGGTATCAATTTGTTTGAATATGACTGATGAAATTAGGGTTATTATCGGTTTCTCTGTGTAGAATGATAGCCTCCATTTTTGCCAACTATGGGTCTTTGCAATCAAGGATGAGGTTAAGAAGATACTAAACCATGTGGCTGAGATGAAGTCAGAGATTTGTGAACTCAAGTCTGAGCTTCACCGTGTTCGCCATGAAGGCTCCAGCTCAACTTACTAATGTTGTTGTTGTTGAAATGAACGAAATCACGTGTACTCCATGTCATGTCTTTGCTTACTCAAGTTTGTTGTTTCTTCGGCTTAGAAGTCTTTGCTTTCTGGATATTTAAGACATGTAAAAAACTGTCTTTGTTTTGTGGTTGTTTAAGATTTCTAAAACTCTAAATTTTTGGATCATGTTGTTGTTTTTGCTTGTTTTAAGTAATGTTGTATTCCCTTGTTCTTTCTTAATCTCCTAATACATGACAAGTTAAATCCTAATACATGACAAGTTAAAAGCAAATTAGATAGGTGATAACCAAGTTTTTTTTTGCAAAAGAACAACAGTCAGGTTTCAAAAAATATAATCCGATATTAAAAAGCAACAACAAAAGTTCCAACATACATGATCCGATATGAAACACCAACTTCACTTCTGTGCTTCCTTCACAAACACCTCAAGCGGGCCTAACATTTCCTCGAATTTGTCCAGTGTCTTTGTTACTCTCTCTAGTTGTTCCCCAAAACTTTCCATTTTCTTGATCACATCCTCCAACATCTTTTTAAGTTCTGCCACTTTTTCTGGTGGAGGAACATCTTCAATGACTGTCTGGCCTTCAAGGACTGCATGTTCCACAATTACCTTTCGTGCGACAATGTCTTCTTCATATATACCTTCAAAAAAGACTGAATATCTTTCATTGAGATGTTTAACCCAACTGTCTACGGTAAGATCTGGCTCATCACGGTCGTCCTCCTCTTCAGTTAGGTCGGCCAAAAGAGCATCTTCTTCCTAACTTCTAGTTGGCAGGACGCTGTCAATATCTTGAAACTAAAAATAGGTTAAAACAGTTACATACTTGTTTTCAGTTTTATATAGTTTTTCTCATACAGTTTTACCAAATTATCCAAGTTTTACTAGTTTTACTTACTTTCCTCATATAGTTTTACCAAATTATTCAAGTTTTACATAGTTTTCCTCATACAGTTGTACCATATTATCCAAGTTTCACTTTGTTTTCATAAGTTTTCCGTAGGAGTATTGCAAGAAACACATACCATTACCGTATCCAGTTCCCGATTAACGCTCGCAAGAGGAAACCCTTTCATTTCAGTTTTTTTTTGAACATAGTCTGGCACATCCTCGGACACTCTATATCAGCTCCTTCAACTGGTTGCCTAAACCTCCTTCCCAACTTTGGAATTGCCTCGAAAGTAAGAAGCTGTAAAACCAACATTTTTCTTAAATACGTAACAGAAAAATATTGATGATAATGATAAAGTGATAATGTTCTACTACTTACCTCAAGTGGAAGACAGAAACTTGGAAGTGGCCATAATATCTTCTCTTTCACCAGTCCTACGAAATGATTCATTGTGTGAGAGATCTCCTTAAGCATATAACCAAAGGAGTATCTACCCCATGGAAAGGACTTGCAGAATTTCAGATCATCCACAGCTCTTTGGAAAAATCCAATACATCATTGGCTCCAACACCAACTTTTGTTTGCGCGCCAATCACACTTTCTAAAAAGAACAGATTTATCACCTTCAGCCTGTCTCTATGGGGTCACATTTCCAAAAGCTTTACTTTCGCACCCTCCAACCTTATTGTTTCTCCCTCTTTGAAATGACGCCTCGCAAACTTTTTACTACCCCTCTCTTTGTAGTTGAGCGAATAGTTCTTGCAGTTGAGGCATGATATCAACGCGTGTTTCCTCAGCCCATAACGGATGGGAACACCGTTGACAATAAACTACACTTCTCTGCTCTTCGCGACATCAGCAATACACAGTAAGAACATACACATTCCTTGAACCTTGTGGTTTGAGCTCTTCTTCTTTGCATTTGAATTTTCATTTGCATCCAATTTCATGTGAAACAAGTGACCGAATTGTGGATGCTCCTCAAACCACCTCTTCTCTGCATTACTTGGGAGAGGATTCAGAGAGTTAAACGTATTAATAACATTTACTAGCAGGCACCTTGTCCCTAACTTTATCTGTTTCTTGTATTCCGAAAGATAGAAAAACATCCTGCTTAGTTTAATTGGCTCGGTGGCCTCAAATTCCTGCAAGTTACATTTACTTCAATGTCAGTTATATCAGTTATACCAAATAGTTTTCTGAAGTTAGTATAGTATTCCCTACTACACCTGCATATTACTAGTTTTACCATTTCCTCATTGTTTCACCAAGTTGTCCTACTAATACGTTTAGTTTTACCCATAAAATCCTAGTTATACACATAAAATCTTAGTTCTACACATCTTCTACACATCTTTCCTTCACTAAAACATTAACAATTCTTACCTTCTCGTCATTCTCCCCATTCTCTCCAACATTCCCAATATCCTCTTCACCAATTTCATTATCTTTAGCCGAGGCAAATGATTCATCCTCCACATCATTTTCTTCTTCATCCCCATCACCTTTCCTATCACCCATCTCACCATCATTTTCTTATTCATCCTCATCACTCGCCTCATTAGCCACGCCGTCTCAATCTCTTCATCATTCGCCGCATGCTCATTTGCATAGCTTGATTCTCTTTCTTCTTTATATTTTATGTTTCTTCTTCTTTATCTTTTTTCCATTTCTTCTTCTTTATCTTTCTCCGCTCCTTCTTCTTCTTCCTCCTCTGACTGCTGACTCTCCGAAGCTCTCGGTGGAGAAACATCATCTGTTATCTCCTCAGCCACTTCTTCCTCAACAGCCCCGCATCCTTTTCAACAGCCACCGCAGCGTTCACAATGACATTTATCGGCTATTTATCACTCGATTGTTCTTCCGTTGTCTCCTTTTTTTCTTCTTTCTTTTCCCATGTTTTTCCTTTATCTCCGTTTCTTTCGTCGGAGTATCTTTCCTCTTACTCCTTCTTGTTTCAACCATTTCAATTCCACAAAGTAACCAAAAACAGAGGGGATTGGAGAGTGAATTCAAACCAAATCGAGAGAGGGCGATTTGGGGCAAAAATTAGGGTTTTTCAGTTGCGAATTGGTTTCGACTCTTAGCCTTCAAAATGTTTTAATCAAGTGGATTTCGAGAATTTGGTTTGGGTTTTCTTCGGTTCAACCATTATTTACGGTTTACATTAACTTTCGATCGTGTTTCGATTTTATTCGGTTAAAAATCCGGTACAATTTGGTAAAAATCATAAATAACTCTACTTTCCACGGCCCTATGGTCTCTTACTACCTTTCTCAATTAAACTATATTATTTTCATTTCCCATTTTATAACAAGTCCTTCCTCGGTTGATCCATGAGATGGGGGGTAAAGAAGATCTTGTTCCCAAATGGATTGGATATCTCGTAGAAATAAGAGAAAATTGTAAATGGAAGACCTGTCCTAGTTATCCAGAATCATTTGATCAGATTTGGAATGAGAGGGCTTAGAGCAGTAATAGCGATAGCAACATGGTGGGTTACTCAAGCAGGGAACTCGGTCTTAAGGATTTTGAGTCGGTCATATCCATCCTTCTGGTATCATAGAAAGGATAAAAATGAGTTGACAAGTGACTGCTGAAGCCAAAGAGCCGTTTTACCAATATGGTGCTTCAGACATGCAAGATGATATTGCATGGTCTAACTCTAATTCTTACATAACTTGACAAAATATTTTTGTTAGAGCAACTCTGTTTCCTCATGCTCTATAGGCTACAAAATAAAGATTTTTATATTCAAGAACTTTTTGTTGGCAATGTTTTGATGTTTGTTTTATTCGAGGGAGGTATAACAAAACCGTTAATAAGGACAATGGTGATTAGTGATTTCATTGGAGGATTTGTATGCAGAGTTTGTTTTGAACAATCCAAAGAAGATCGATTAACTGTTCTTGGTTTCTTTGATAGGAGATTTCAAGTGCGTTTGCCATGGCCACTGCTTTGTATTGGGAGAAGAATCATGTTAGATTTGTTGAGAGAGAGAGAGATATAGGTAAAATTGTTTATGGTTTTTGTTTTGTTTAGTTTTTTGGAATGTAATGTATCGTGTGTAGAAAGAAACTAAGATGTGCAATATTAAATTTCAGTTGTTGGTGGTTAATTTTTTTAGGACTTTTAACATAAAAACCCCTCAACTAAGTTTGTTTTGGGTAAAAACTCCTAAACTAAGTATTTAATGAAAAAATCCCCAATTAACTTTACTTACTGAATTAAACCTTTGCCGTCATAATTACCGGTACTACTGATAAATCTTTAGTTTAGGGGTTTTAGAATTAAAGATAAAAAATAAAATAATAAAAAAATAAAAATATAATAACCTTATCTAAAAATGCGTAATTTTAATTTTCAAAATTGGCATTTTAATTTTTTTTTGTAAATATATGAGTGATTTCTTATCTTTTTAAAATGGATTTTAACTCTAAAATACCTCAACTAAGTTTGTTTTGGATAAAAATCCCCAAACTAACAAGTAAACCTCCTTATTAAGTAAACATAATTGAAGGGTTTTATCATTAAAAATAACAAAGTAAAATTAGAACATTATCTAAAATTAGTAACTTAAATTTTTAAAATTAGCATTTTACAAACTTTCAGTAAATATATGAGTTTGATTTATTTTAACATCAACATTATATATATATATAGAAATTAAAATTGTAAAACACCAAAATATAATAAAAATCATCTACAGATTTATTATTACATTTTTATTAGATAAGATATAATTTTTATTTTGTTTTCTTGTTTTTTATATTTATAACTTTTTGACAATTTTTATTACAGGTAGATATTTATATAATTTTTGTTATATTTTCTGGGTTTTTATATTTTAAATTTATACATATATGATGTTGATTTTAAAAGGACAACAAATCAGACTCATATATTTACAACTTTTTTAAAAATGATAGTTTTGAAAATTCAAATTAAAATTTTTAGATAATGTTATTATTATTTTTTTATTTTTTTTTTAATGATAAAATTCCTAAACTAAAAGTTTACCGATAGTACTGGTAATTATGACCGGTGATGGTTTAATTCACTAAATAAAGTTAGTTTGGGGGATTTTTCGTTAAAT